TTTTTTTTTTTTTTTTTTTTAAAAAAGAACCGGGAAGGGGGATCCACCCCTTAATTTGGGGTGTTACCACCCCACCCCCCCCCCCCCCCGAGTGAGCCACGGGCCGGCCCCTCCTCCACCTTCTGACACTGTTTGTGTTCTACTTATTTGTGCAATGTCTCTCACCCCTGCCAGAATGGCAGCCCCTTGAGCACAGTGGCTTTGGTCTACTTTCCGCCGTTCGCCCCTCGTGCATCCTCAGGGACGGTATATCACTGGTGCACAGGGCCTGGTTCATACTAGGTGCTCAATGGATATTAGTTGTCTGGCTGAATGTATCACAGTAGCAGGAAATTCTTAGTCTCATAGTCACGACAACATGGAATTATAAAAGTGGTGGAAATCATGGAATCACAGAAACTTAGAAAGCAGAATCATGGCCCTTGGGACATTTGCATGCTGGAATCAGAGGACCAGTTCCTCATGCTCAGACTCCCTGAGTTGCAAGATCATCAAGACAGGGTATCACTGGATTCTACCCTCATGTGTCCACAGAATCTGGAGTCAGAGACCAGACTCAGATCTGGGGCCATGGGGCTCTGGAGCTGCAGGTCTAGCAAGTGGAGAAAGGCTTCAGCCTGTAGAGACAAGCCCAGCCTCCCTGCGCAGGAGGGACATGGCCCGGCTTGCTGGATCTATAGATCCTTGCCCCACCACCTGTGCCTACCCCAAGCCCTGTCCACCGTCTTGCAACTCCCGTCCCAAGGAGGTTTTTCTGAATGTCTAACCCCAACCTCATTTCTTCCCTGAGACTCCTATGCTCTTTAGCCAAAGGTCTCTGAGAAGCAGAGGCTCCAACCTTGCCCACCAAGGCTGCTTTAAATCACCACCTTCAAGGACTCACAGAGTTTGTCCTCTGTGCCCCCAAACTCTGCTGCCCCCTCCGTCCTATCTGGTGAAAACCCAGGACTCTAAGCCTCTTTCTAACCTCTATCAGAACCTGCTGTGACATAAGGACCTTGCAGTAATCATTTCAACTTCAGTACGAATTCAGCTTCTCACAGCTGGAAAGTGGCTGGTCCAGCCCCAGTCAAACGGATGGGAAAGCGGAGGCCAGGCTCTGAAGTCATGTACTGCTGCCCACTAGTCAAACTTCCCTAACTCTTCTCCCTTTTTGTTCCTCTCTGAGTCTTCTCTGCAGGAACAGAGAAGACTAAGATCAAGATGAAGTAAGGCAATTGGGGTGGGGGGGCTCGTAACCTGGAAAGATCCTCCTGTCTTCTGCCTGCTAGGAAAGCAATGATCATAGAACCTCAAGAACAGTCAATCCCTTGGGCCGGCCCATGGCTCACTCGGGAGAGTGCGGTGCTAATAACACCAAGGCCCCGGGTTCGGATCCCACATAGGGATGGCCAATTCGCTCACTGGCTGAGCGTGGTGCTGACAACACCAAGTCAAGGGTTAAGATCCCCTTACCAGTCATCTTTGAAAGAAAAAAAAAAAAAAAATCAAACCACTGGGGCCAGCCCATGGCTCACTTGCGAGAGTGGGGTGCTGACAACACCAAGTCAAGAGTTAAGATCCCCTTACCGGTCATCTTAGAAAAAAAAAAAAAAAAAAAAAAAAAAAA